AAGGAGTCCTTGACTTACAATTGATTGCTTAGCGACCATAATTGACTCAAGAGAGGACTTGCATCCCAGATTCAAGGTTCTAATAATTGGGCCTCTCCACAGTCATGTGACGAAACTTTGGGCACCCAGCAAGATGGTGACTTACAGCCAGTGGTGGGTTGGCAGGCGGCGTCCTCATGCACGCGTGCAGTTCACGCATTCATCTTAGTGCCTGCGCGATGCTCCAGCTGCTCGCGGAGAATCGGGAAGGCGCTGTATGTGCCATGCGCCTGCATGGAAGCGCAGAAGCCTTTAAAGACCGGTAAAGAGCAAGGGCGGGCAGGTGGGCCCTTCGGCGTTCCCGGAAGTTACTTACTTCCGGGTTCACCAACCAACCGGTCCACGCGGACCACCGCAGACCGGTTGAAACCCACCCCTGCTTACAGCATTCAGTGGTCATATAACTGTATCCTACCACGCTTCTGCAGAAAACCAGCACATATTTCCTTAACTGCAGTGAGTTACTTAGTGACTGCTGCAAAAACAGTCATTAAGTTGGGTTAGCCACAACATATGACTGTAATCGGCAGGCTCCATTACAAGTCATATGTTGAGAACTGCCTACATATAGCTTTCGTTATTAGCAGTTACGGCAGCATTATCTTTCAGGAATTACCATAGTACTTTTTTCTGAGCCATCAAAGTTGGAAGTTGTCCTTACATGTTATGCAAAAACTACTCCTATAATTTTGAATACGTGTTTTGTGAAGGGCTACTATGGCTCCCTTTAACTATCTTGAATCTTCCCTTAGAGGATGAAAGATGGTATTACTATGGATGCTCAAATAATATTGTGATCGGCATTAGAATGGCACATTGAAAAACTGAATAATTAAATAATGGAGGATTATATTTTAATACAAACATGTATTAACACCAAGGGTACAAAAATTTGAGCAATGTAAGAAATATTATCATCGCTGTTATTTGGGTCAAAATAAACTTCCCCGGTCTGAAAATAATTCTCCAGCAGTTCTTCAATTAACATGGGAGATTTTTCTGGTCACTTCTATAAATAAAATCTGTTCCCTGCTTCAAGACTTCTGCACCTTGACAATAGGCATCTTCCAAGACAAGCCCCCTCCAGCCACCCCAAAGCTTGCAACACCCCTGTCTATAGAGAGGAAACCTTCCCCCGAAAGGTTAGGAAACATGCATGGTGCCAATCCATTTACTTCTGATTATAAAGACACACCCTTCATGGTACAAGCAAGAGGGTGACTTCAAGAGCACAGGGAAGGGAGAGGAGGGGGCTTCCCCGGGGAACTGGGGAAGGGGTGGGGGGTTCAGGACTACCATGCTGCAATCTTACCCTGACATTTAAATCCACCTGCTTGTTTCTCAGCAGTTCACTGAGTTGGATGCGGCCCAAGGTGTTGTTTTTTTCACCTCACAAGGAAAAGTGTGTACGGTTTTGCCAATCAGGCAGAACTGCTTGCCAAAGTTATAAGTAACCCTTAGCTGAATTGTTGGAGGAAAACATCAGTCATCTCAGCTCAACGTTCACGACACAATCTGGGCTACGTGAGGAATATGATGTAATCAGAGGTAGAACTGATAGCCCAGATGTTCACGCGGACCACGATCCCTGGCTCAGTCCGTCATGCGTGAAGAGAGAAGCGAGCCCTGCATTAGGGCATGAAGGTTATCTATTATTCTCCAGGCCGGGAGAGCTGATTAGGGGTCCTTCTTACAGACTGGCATTTTTATAGTAGAGTAAAACCATTTATGTTCCCATTAATCTGCCAGAGTTATATCTATTTTTTAAAAAAATATTCTGATAATTGGTTTTTAAAATGACAATCTTAACTGTTGACTGACTGATCAGCAGGACTGCAATTAGCAATAGCAATAGCAGTTCGACTTATATACCGCTTCATAGGGCTTTCAGCCCTCTCCTAAGGGGTTTATAGAGTCAGCATATTGCCCCAACATTCGGGGTCCTCATTTCACCCACCTCGGAAGGATGGAAGGCTGAGTCAACCTTGAGCCGGTGAGATTAGAACCGCTGAACTGCAGATAACAGTCAGCTGTAGTGGCCTTCAGTACTGCACCCTAACCACTGCGCCACCTCGGCTCTTGAAGAGCCTACTCTCTTAAATGTTCAAGTCATTCCATCCTAATGTTTTACTTAAGATGTTCCTTTGCGTGGCAAGAAGAACAATAAATAGCAGCTCTGTATTATTTCTGGCAAAAGGCACAGCAATATTAACAGACTCATTGGACGGCCTAGTTCTAGTATACGTGTATTTTAAAACAG